GAAGAGCGAGTTTCCTTTGTGGATCATTATCTGCAAACTCACCAACATATTGCCTGAAAACAAAATGGCAAAAGATATAACTTATGAACATCATAGGAAATTAAACATTCAGATTCAAGACAAAAGGAGTGTATTAATTAATTGCCTCAAATCTTCAAGACATATGACAAGAAAACGTCCGTTTATTCTTTTTCCCGCTGAAGATCCAGCCCCATGTAGAGAAGAAGTGCTGTTTATATTGCCTTCCTCATCATACTTCTCCAGAGCCTTAACACCTTCATATGTTCTACAAACAATAGCCAGCATGGTTTGCATTCCCAAGTACTCTGACAAAAGCCTAATTCAGAACAGCAAAGAAGCAAGAAGTCGCAAAAGAATTTGTTAGTAATCATTCCGCAATTCATAATCTTTCTTCTTTTCCGTTTTCTTCTAGACAAGAAAAGTTAAGTTCTCTCCAAAATATGTTCAATGGATGGAAAAACAAATAGGGCGACAGAAAATGTTAACCTGCTAAGGTTGTCTTCTCCAACTCTGGCAAGAGTAGCAACAATTCCTAAGACATCCTTGGTAAATGCCAAATCCAGTCCCTGAATTGATGATTGCTGAGAATTCAGCCGGCACAATACGCTGGCTGCAGAGTTTTCTTGCTTCAATATCTGTTCTATGGTATCCTCCTCAGTCCAAGACAGACCACTTTCACTTTCTGTTCCTGTTCCATTTGCTGAATGGTACTTTCCAAGACTCACTGAATACAAGTTTGGCAGAGAAGAATTTGACAGTAACATAATCTAGTAGAAAAGAAAGTGGTATAATGACAGTAACATCATCTGTTCTATTAACACTTCGATGTCCAACTGTAATGCTATGGCATGTAGCTTTAGATAGACGAAACATGAACATGAAACATGAAACCGATGTTTTCTTTACAGTAACAAAATCTAAGTGATTGTATGCATCGTGACTTAATTCTGAAATTGAACAGATGAAAAAGGTAAATAAAGGGGGAAAATAAAGTACCTTGCAAATCAAGTATAGATTCATCTAAGTGATTTGTCTGAGCCGTGAGAAACGTGAGGTTATCCTCACGCTGCTTGATTGTATTCTCCAAGCTTTGTAAATTACCCTGAGCATTTTGCTGAAATGGTGCAATGAATGAATGGCATGTTTAAGCAGATGTCAAGACTTAAAAACAAGATCAAGTTTCCGTGGATACAAACATCGGATTTGACATGAATAAAAGTTACCAGATTCTTAATTTGGTTCACCAACACACAACATTAAAGCCACAAACATAGTGATTTGTACCAATATATAAGCATTTGAATGCATATACTCACATTCTTTTTCTCCACTTCCATTTTTAGCAGTTAGAAGAAAATAAATGGAGACCTCCATAAACAAGAGCTTTATGGAGAAAAACCTAAAATTTAGGGTGGTCCAATAACTTAATCTAAGGCATGTTACTGTGGGCTTATAGTTGTTTGCTTGTACACATCAAGTTGTGTACTCACACAGTAAAATTCACTAACCGAATTAATATCTACAAGTGATTTCAAATACAGGAAAACTTCGTGGAAATTATTTGCCTGATTTCTACATTTGCACATTTACATGGGAATGCATACATAATAATGCAAATGTAATTTGCACCAACAGTTAAAAAAAAAAAAATCCTCAGTCTGAATAATAGTCGGGCGCAAAATCCTCAGTTTGAGTTGAAGTTGTAACTTGGATGTGCACATTTGAGTTATGATTTGAATTGAGAATCTTTTTGAATTTATGTTTGAGTGGATCAAAACTTAAATTTGTCTTTAAATAGTATTTTAATAAAAACTCAATAGTGATGAAAAATTTTAATATGGTATATGGTTGGATTTTATTCGTCTTTTCGTTATGAATGTATAGAAAAAAAATCATCTTAATCAGAATTAAAACGAAAAAGTTACGATATTTTTAAGAATAGAAAAAATACTGTTCATTAACTTAAGTTCGAGTTTATGAACTCGAGTTTAACTACAAACTCGAATTTAAACTTAAATTTTACAAAACAAGTACAACTCAAAGTTAAAATTTTTTCTGAGTTTCATTAAAAAAAAAACAACCCCTATTATGTATATATACGCAAAACCCAAATCAGGATTTATATTTATGACACCAAATCTTGATCAGGCCTCACATTCCAAAACTATAACCAACCTTTTCCATTTTGTACTCACTATTTGCATCGTTGCATGTTCTTTGAATCTTAACCACTTTATCCTTTCATACCCGGAACAAAATTTTAACCAAAAAACACTAAAAAGGAAAAAAGACAAAAGACAAAAAAAAAAAACGAAAAAAAGGAAAAAAAAAATGTTCCTCTGACTCCAAGGTCAGCATTCAGAAACAAAGAAGCAAGGAACTTTTTTCCTGCTAGTTGAAAATATTTTGAACTGTTAAGCAACACCGACAATTTCACTTAGTAAAGTCTCTGAGAGAGAGAGAGAGAGAGAGAGAGAACCTGAAGGTTTAGTTTAGACATGGCCGTGAAAAACATGACCTTCCGACACGAATCAATCTCTCTGAGGTTTGAAAATGATAATCTATGAGTGACTTCTGACCTTTGCGCTTTCTTTTTTCAAAAATGTTCAAATTGAGTGGTAGAGTCGTAATTTTCTACAAGTATGATGCCATTTGCGAGAAAGTAGTTGACCTTTTTTTCTTTTCTTTTCTGTTTTTTTTTTTTCCTGCTAATGTGACCCTCCGATGTTTTACCTCAGATTCTAGTAGCAACCGAGTTGCTGTCCCCGTTCTTTTGAATTGGATACTTTGTTTGGAAAGAACGGACAATTTATCTCGTGTATGAGTTTAAATATTTATTTTTTTTATTTTTAATAAATATTTTTTTATTAATATAATTATTTAATTAAAAAAATTATGAATTAAAAATAAAAAATAAAAATTCTCATTCATACACTTTTATTTATTTTGTTTTCATGAGCCCATGTTTCAACTTTCTAGCAAGCCCAAATTTAAACTCTCAAGGCCCAATACGTCACCGAAGAAATTTGAAAGGAATAAAAAAGAGTGTTTATCAAACAGTAAAGAAATATAATGAAAAACGTAATGAGATTGAAAATAAAAGTAAATAATAGGATTAAACATCATTCATTTTATTTCAAGTGTTTACTTATTAGATGATGTAATTAAAAACAACTCATTCTCTTTCTTATGTTTATTAAAATTAGGAATAACAATGTTATGAATACGAGTCATTCATTAAGGGTAAATTTAGTATTCATTCTTTTAGCAAGGAACAATATTAAAGGAGGTACAAAGATTGCCATTCTTTTTACTCATTCCCCATATATGGTAGGGTCCACTAAATCTCTCTTACTAATTTTGTAAGTAAACACATTATTAGATGGAAAAGTGAATCATTCATTTCCCTTTGATGGAAAGTAAACATGCCCCAAAAGTGTAGGGTTCAAGATTTTTATCTTTTACTCTTAATTAATATTCTTTTGATTAATATAGTTCTTTGGTTGAAAGATGTTAATAAAAAATAAGGGATAAAAATTAAAGATCGATGCATTCTAAGAGATATT